TATATATAAATAAATAAAATATTAAAAATAATAATTATTTGTTATTGTGGTTGAAACTGAGACGATAATATTCTAATCTTGTCGCAGATTATGTAGATAGTAGATAGACTCTATTAAAAACTATTTTTTGGTATTAAAAATATAATATTAATATATTTTCCATGTGATTAGAAAAAGAATGTATAATTACATTCAATTTCCATTCATATTTGTTTGAAAAATAAATGCATTCACAATCATAATTCATAATGTAAAAATTGAATGTACTCATGAATTGCATTCATTCCAAACTCTGCGAGTAATACTATATATAATATTATAACAATCAAAATCAAGGCCAATTCCAACCATACATTCGGGGGGAGGGGGTTGAACCCCTAAAACCCCCCTTATATACGCCACTTGTGATACGACAGCTAAATCTTCCCCTTGTAATTACGTCACTGTTACCCACACCGATCAATCATTGTATTATTTGTATTAGGACTTGGAGAGTGAATTCCATTTTTGGACGGAAAATCGGATGGTGACATTCGAGAAAGACGGTAAATCGTATAGAATGGCTAGATATAACGCACCGTCGAGGGGACCAAGACCAGAGTCATATAGGTTTGTACTAAATGACAGGTTAGTGCCAACAAAGATTGCTATAAAATGTAGGTATTATGTATATCGATATAGAGAGGACTACGAAGTTGCTGAAAAGTTTGACACKGAAAATGARAAAGATGATATGTATACTAGACTTAAGTCTGGCGCCGAGTCCGGATGGGATTATTCGAGTAGATGGTTTATAAGTACTGACCAAGATTCGGATCCYGGTTAGCACTATGACTATATATCGTCTCATATGATATTTCACCAATTAATGTTTGAAATTTCCATACTACAATAAAATATGTTTAAAAAAAAAAAATACAGATAAACTATCGAATGTACATGTGCCAAGTATTGTACCAGTCGAATTAAACAGTATACTAAACAAAAATGCACGCATATTGAGCACGTGGTTTGGCCAGACTGGAAATAAATATAAAGCCACTAAATATTCTAGTATCGCACAAGAATTTCTTAATGGTATACAAGAAGTTAGTAATATTTATATTGAAATTATCATAATTTATTATTATCTTCACGGAAAACTAAACTTCTGCTACAGGTCATGTGGAGGCCGGACAGAGGTGCATGGTTTGACTGGGATTTAATGAATCATAAGCATCGAGAATGTTTTTTTGTTTCCAATGTCTCGCCTTTGTGGACAGAAAGTTATAACATGCCAAAAAAGTCAGTGGSCAATGATGTATTGAGATATTTAAGAGATGAAGGGATTGTCGAACCAGATTTCAGCATAAGTTTTCATGGTATAAAATTATAACAAAATTTAAATACATACTTAAACTATAAGGTTTAGTTAGATACGCTCGTAGAGCGACATCTGTCGGCGTAGCTTCGTGCATTTTCACTATTAAGGCTGTGGTTGGTCATGTGTTCTGTGTATATGTAATATATATACCTATCATGTATATGAAAACCTAAAATTTTCCAAAYTGCTTCGGAACTACTGATATACCTGCTACCTTTATATATTTTCATTTCATCTATATRGTCAGTTTTTTTCTAAACCAAAAACTGCGTGATCACTACCTTTTGTGACATATTTGCATACATATTTTATTGACTTTATTGAACTGGTTATCTCAACATTTATACTTAAATGGGCAGTAACAGTACGCAACAAAATTGGGTTGTATGGAACAACCCATCTGTTATCCAAGTCAATCGGCTTAATACTCACTTTCAAACCTCCATCAATTGTAGATCGCCTTCTGTATTTTGGATAGACAT